GATGGGCAGAGCTGGGAGGGGGCCTGCCGGGCTCCGCATGGGGACAGGGCCCCAGCGTGCGACCAACGCACCAGGCGGGCCCCTCTTGAACAGGGAAGGCTGCTCCCAGCAGCTCCTCAGAGCCCAGGGAACAAGGCAGCAAAGGAAATCAGGCAAACCTAAAGCCCTGGGCGCCCAGCCCAGACGCCCTCGGGCGCAGTTGAGGGGGAGGGGGGATGCAGCCCTGCCAGCAGACGCTGCTCGGGCGCGTCATGAAACGGGTACCTTGGTGACGCCATCCTCCCTGCTCACGTGCACGGTGCTGTACGTGTATTTGGCCTCGATGTAGTCCTCGCTGTAGGTCACATCGGGGCTCTCAACAAGGAACATCTCTGCCATGGTTCCTCCAGCTGCAACAGGGAGGGAGCCCGCAATTACAGACCGGCCAGGCCTCACACCCGGGCATGCGGGTGCAAAGCACTCACCAGCCATGGCCCATGAGACCGGGATGCCCCCAGCTCGCCATGGGGCCAGTGTGTTCCCCGCCCCGCACTGGCTATCCCTCTCCCAGGCCCCTTTGCTGAGGTGGAGCATAATCTTCATTTTACAGAAAGGGAAACTGAGGCACACAGCAGCAAAAGGGCTTGGCACCAACTGGCTGTTCAGATTAAAACGGAGCTTCCAGAGGGCACCGCCGGCAGGGGCACAGGTGGGTGGCGGTGACCCAGACACTGCCCCAAGAGGAGCGCCGGGTTTCTGGGAGGCTGCAGGATGCGAGTCAGGGCAGCTCAGGATAGCAGGCACTGGGCCGGGCCAGGCTCACCCAGCACGGGAACAGCCAGAGAGCGACAAAGCAGGTCTTGAGCCTTGGCTGATTCAAACAGGGGCCCAGGGTTGCTTTGCTGGGGGCCAGCAGAGTAAGGGGAAGGGTCAGTGAGTCCTCCCCCAGCCCAGGGCCCTACAAGCCAAAATAACCCAGGACCCCAGAACAGCCTGGCTGAAACCCACTGCTCCCCCTCCAACCCTCCAGTGAGTCCTCCCCCAGCCCAGGGCCCTACAAGCCAAAATAACCCAGGACCCCAGAACAGCCTGGCTGAAACCCACTGCTCCCCCTACAACCCTCCAAACTTCCTCCTCCCCAACCCAGTCTGCTCCAGCTCCCTAATCACTTTGGTC